CTTTTGGGTACTTCCGGCTTCCTCGTACTCAGGAGTAATTAAGGACTCAAAGTCCGCGTAAATCACGTAAGGCACTTTATTTTGACGTTTGTGATCACTATATCGTAAATCCTTATTTTCTGGTAATTGAATTCTCTGCGCAGACTCCTCTACTCCCCGACAAATCTGGTCGTGCTTCTTTAAGGCTTTCAGGTCTTTAAACGGTAGTAAGCAAGCATCACAATAATACCTTTTGCGTCCGTCTTTACTGTGCGCTGCAAATAACCTACTTAGAGATTTTACCCATGAGTAATGCTCTCCGTRGTAAAATAGGTGTATGCGTTTTCCTTCAAAACTCGAGATATGTAGAGGTACTATGGTCTTTTCTCTAACACCGTAAACATTTATTGCTAAGCCATTTCTTTCTTCAAAGTCGGGTATGGCACGCAATTCCATTGGAAAGRCTACATTTGACCAATCTAAGTCATCACTTGGATATTTTGATGTTCTAAACGCGTTTTCTTTAACTGGGTATAAGGCGGACCTTACAGCCCATTTAAAGCATTCATTGTCGTTATTACGTACGCTAATTATTGCTTTCTTACGTTCTATGAAAGTCGGTAATGGCACGTAGGATCCTCCCCGAATCGGCACGTAGCGAGCAATGCTAATCGTAGCACCTTTCATCGCTGTTACGGTCCAACCCGAGGCTTCCCTGGTATACTTTGCTAGCGACTCTAATAATGGATCTACTTGTGAGTGTAATCTTTGCTCTAAGTACGTTGATTCTAAGACCGTTAGAGTCTTGGTGCGCAACCAAACCGTGGTCTCTGTGCTATCTTTTATCAAGTTAACTTCCACAACAACGGAAACTTTCACAGCACCCAACTCTTCCATTCCCCTTTCTACTACTCTTTGTATTCTTCTCATATTCAATTCCCAGTATCGTCGTAAGTCTAATATAGAGCTTCCTGGAAATGTATGAGTTGTGAAATTGTATTGCGAGTCCATTGTCTATATATAAGGAATATTTTTTGAAACCAACATGGAAAAGACCCGCAAAATATCGTCACCCCATAAATATCCGTGATTTGAGACCCCTATAATCCCCGGGACGAATTTTAGCTTTTACTAGGTGTTTGGATATTAATTACTACGCAAATTTGATTAACTCAGGAAATCATGGGGTTAGGTCGGGTGAATCAGGACTGGTATCCCCTATACTACTTCCTCCATCCTGATTCGTCGAGTTCCAGATATTACATATTCTACTTCTGATCTCTACAAAATTCGTCGTCAATCTTCTAAAGTTATTCCTGATTGTTGTTCACTACTGAAAGAATTAAATATTTTTCGTTTTCGTGGAAGGCGTGCTGGTCGTTCTCGTCGTTTGTTAAACAATACGTCAAAAAATTGTTCATGTCAACTTCCCATTCCTCAAGTTACACTGAATTTTATTCGTTTTTGTCTTCTAAATTCAAGATCCTTGAATAATAAATCTCTCCAAATTAAAGATTACATTGTTGAACGAAATCTTGATATTTTTGCTGTGACAGAAACGTGGTTAAAAAACTCTCCTGAATCTTTATATACAATCCGTGATGTTTGTCCTTCTGGCTATCAAATTTCACATGTTGATCGTAAAGATCGTTTTGGTGGTGGCGTTGCTGTCATATATCGTAACTCGTTTGATGTAAAACTCTGCGAAACCGTCACGTTTAATTCCTTTGAATCAATGGAGATGACATTTCGTTCGCAAGATCATATTATCCGTGTTGTTGTTGTTTATCGTGCTCCTTCGTCGTCGCTCAATCTATTTCATGAAGAATTTTCGTCTTTGTTAGAATCCCTGGTTATTTCACCTGGAAAACTACTGATCTGTGGAGACTTTAATATTCATGTTGACAATAATAATAATGACAATCTTGCTCAAAAATTTATGGAACTTCTTGACTGTTTTTCACTTTATTGTTTTGACTCAACAACACCAACCCATAAAAGTGGCCATGCTCTTGACCTCATAATCACAAGATCCGACGATAATCTTCTCACCAATTATTTTCTCCATGATCCTGTAATATCTGATCACTTGGCTGTTCATTGTTTGCTGTCTGTCGTCAAGCCTGCTGCTAAATCCCGTACTGTGTCGTACCGCAACATCCGTTCTATTGATTTTGACGCTTTTCGTCATGATATTGCTGATTCGTCGTTATGTAAATCTCCTGTAGCTGATTTGTCTGGTTTATGTCTTCAGTATGATTCTTTGCTGTCCAATATTCTTAATAAACATGCTCCACTTCGTACTAAAACCATATCGTCTCGTCCACGTGCACCTTGGTACAATGACGTAATCCGTGTAAACAAAACAAAAAGACGAAGACTTGAAAGACGCTGGCGTAAAACTAATCTGTCTGTTGACCGTGAACTTTATGTCGCTCAATGTAATGTCGTTAAAGAACTGATTTTTTCCTCCAAGATGTCTTATTACTCTAAAATTATTGATNCCCCCCCCCCCCCCCCCCCCCCTCTCCTGGAAAATCCTGGCTACGCCCCTGGTTTTTGTACCTCACATAAGCGGACACCACTTGAAGTAAACTTGCGAGAGGTGAAAATGCAKCATCATCTAATTATGAATCTGATAATTAAATTATCTAGTTTAGATAATATAATGGCAATACCTTGTTTGACCGGACTATCTAAAAATGTTTATCCGTCTGAAAGCAGTTGTCGCGTATCAATGACAGTTCTATACTGATTACACAATTTTGGACTTGGCTCGTTGATTATAATAAAACCACACAGAGGTTCAAACTGTGTGACCTGAATCGAAAAAAAGCAAAATAATGGAATGTGACTGAAAAGCACACTTACCAGAACCCACTGGGACGAATACACCCGTCTGTTGTAATATGGCTTTGGACTCGGTTTTGCCTATGCCACGGTCCGCTTTTCTTGCTTTTCCTTTTGATGCATGTAATGATATTCCTGGTGGAACTMGGCATCTATTGGCTCCCCTTCGCCAGCCAATCCCAAAGAGGAGCGATGTGCTGGGCAAATGGTCCATGTCGAGATATCGCGTGGAAATGAGAATAAAAGAGATAAAGAATAAAAAGAGATAAAGACATTGCGTCACGTTCGCGTGACATACCAAACGAGTCAAAAAACGAGCTCTAATCACAATGATTTGTGGAATGACTACAAGAGAAATATTAAGCATAGGTATTTCAGTTAAAAAAAGGAGTTCAGAGATAAAAGATTTTTAAGAGCTATTGAACAAGCAGTYAATAATGACTTTACTGAATGCTATAATTAATTGCACGTGCATGCCAAGATCACACGCATCGATGTTTTGTAACATGACTTTAATACAGTTTATATCTGTAAGAACCCAATAAATAAGTAAACTAGCTTAAAAAGAGCTTAATTTTATATTATATATCCAAACAAAAAGGGAAGTCAAGTACAAATTTTCAAATTTCAGTTGTCTAGTCTAAGCAGAGTGCCGGATTGTCTCCAGTTGTTGACAGGTTTATGTTGTGATTTTCACGATATTAAGATCACTATAATTCCGCAATAACAAAAAGCCCCAAAATAATTTTTATATCAGGTTTTAGAGCAACACTTCCTCTTTCGATTTCTTGAAATTTTAAGGAAATCGAAGTTTTACCGAGTAGGGAAAATTAATTTTCAAAAAGTGTACCAAATTAGGAATTTTTAATTAGCAAAATAAAGCGATTTTCACTTGCTTGTCAAATACTTTGAAAATTAATTTCAAGGATTATAATTGCACTAAAATTCTTCTCAAACATCTTATTAACACCTTTCAATACTCAAATTCTTTTTTTCCTGCGATGCGAATTTTACAGAGCGAAGTTTAGGGGAGGCTAATACGCRCGATCGTTTTGGCAAATTTCAGGAATCTCGGGTCCGAATCACGTTTTGGTAATTTTCCAGCGTTTAAAATAATATTTTAGAAAACAAACCCCACCACGTTTCTAAGTATATATTAGAGTATCAATGGACAAAATATTAAGGATTTTGATTTTTCATCATGTGCCACCCCTTGCTCGGTGGTAGTGGACATTCCCTCTTAAAATGATACTAAAATAAGAGAAATATAAAATAAAATGTGAGTTTTTTTGATATTCATAGCATGACCCAAGCCTTAATAGCCTTGAGAATGGCCATGTTATGAGGTATTAGGTCATTTTTAGTAAGCTCATAAAGACTTTGAAGTTGACCTGCTGTTTATTCTTGGGACCATCCGTACTTCACTTTTGAACTACGGATTCGAAGAATGCACTTCTTCAATTCCTTATCAAGGACATCATCATTTTCATTGTTGTCATGTTCGCCATTGTTCATCACTACTTCCTGCAGACTGTTCATTGCCCTCTTCATAATTGCTTTCCCCATTACCTTCTCCATTGCCTTCTAATTCATCATCATCACCGCCATATTCTTGATCATCAGTATTGTCATCAGCATTGTCATCATCATCATCGCTGTGATCACTTATTGTGCTCCCTTCATCATCGATTTGCTGTGAGGCGATGATGTAATCACCATGGTAGCTATTTAAAGATTGCTCAGTATCAGAGTCATCCCTTTCTCTATCATAGACATTAGCTCTTGTTTCTGTTGCGGTTAATACGCTATCCGAGGAAGTACAATGAATATTGTTTCGAGAATTATAACTAAACCCAGTACCAATACTGTTAACTGAATCATATCAAACTTATTACCATATATCATGAACATTTAGACTTTACTAGTGTCCAGGCACACTCGGACATATTTTCGCTAGTGCGCTTGCTCAGTAGCATCGAGTTATTCGGGCAATCGGTCACGCGCTCCTACAGTAATAATAAACATGGCATCTTCGAGAGCAAAGCGAGAAAGAAAGCAACCAAAATTACTTATCAATGAAGCTCTTCTTGAATCTTCATCGTCAAGGATTAAAAAGAAAAAACGAGATCGAAGACTTTATCCTGTGACAGTAACAGAGGTGGACAAGAAGAAAAACAGGGTTAAAATCCACTTCGTGGGGAATAGCAATAAATACGACGAGTGGTGGTCATGTGTTGATGAAGATATTAACAAGATTTTCCAGCGTTTAGAGCCGTATAAAGTACCATCAAACATTTCTCTGAAGGATCGAAGTGATTTGATATATGGGGAGCTTTATAGAGAAATAAAGCAAAAACTTTATTCCGGACGAAGGGATGATCCTGGCATTCGCATTGATATACGGATAGATCAAGATGTATTTGAAGAAGGCCTTGCGTTAACTGGAATGCCAAAACAAGAACGCGGGAAGTCTATTTATTACATAAAATCGAATCTGGCTTTGGAACCTTTTCTAGGGAACAAATGGGATGAGTGCATTTTCAATGTRAATGGCGACTATGCTTTTGTGACAGAGGGAACTGTACATTTCTGGTTGTCAAGGAAATCTTCCATTGAAGAGTTTAAACTTATTGGAGGAAAATACATTAGATCAGAGATAGAAGACAGTTTATGTTTAGTTTTTACATTCGTTRGAGGTGACGGCAATAAGTATGACTATGCCACAAAGAATCAATAAGTTTATTTACAATATTCATAAGAATTCAAAATTACATGCATTAGGCAACAAAATTTAAGAATTTTCAATTCACATTGGAGCATCTTGGCACCCATTTACCTTCAACTTTCACAAGGGAGAGCAGTATGTTGTTTGGTTGCATGTTGTGCACTTTTTAGTACAAGTTTTAATTGTATGACCTTGTGTGCCACAATTTCCACATGTGTATGAATTWTTTCCCCTTTCATATCCTTTACCCTCCAGAAACTGCATCCTCATTTTTTTCAACATGAGCTGTCTCAGTGCCTCTATACCCCTGTGATTCGAGAACCTGAAGTAATTTTTGGAGACAATATTATATTTCTCTATGCCCTGTTGATTGATTTGGGAAATATTGGCATATAGCTTTAAAAACTCAGGCACATAGGCATACAAAGCATGCATATATGGAGTAACATCTTTACCCTGGTAAATGGCAAGGAAGTTTTCAAGCCATTTTTTAAATTKTTCTYYTAACTGATTTATCGATTCCTCTGTTGTGTAATCAAGTTTAAGGTCACCTATTATCTCCATGAATTCATTCCAAATCACTCTCATTTCTCTTGTTTTAGTATAGTTTGGTAGCAAATGTTCAAAATCAATACTCTGAATCAGAATTAGTTTCTCTGGTCCTGTTAAGTCTCTGTATTCAAGTTTCTTCGTGTCTTTGTTAACTTTCCACTCAAAGTTTATACCAAGCCTGCACAGAAAGGTTTCATAACCTGCCAAGTGTGCATATTTCTCGTGATTGAATCCATTTGAAAACGTGTTGGTTTTCTCTAAGCAATCCTGTCGTTTTAGTTCTCTAATCAAAAGTTCAATCAAAACATCAGATATTCGGAAGAATAAGTGCAGTGTGTCAATCATAACATGATCAACAGAAATATAATCAAACAAGGGACTGTATTTACAATTGAACCTCTTGCGCTTTGAGTGATAGGTAATTTCTTGATGATCTCTGGCTCCAAGGGATTTATCTGATATAGACCAATTTTTATCCACATGACTTCTTTCTGCTCTTGGGCATTTGCACCAAATACATGCAAATTCTTGATTTGCGGCACCAATTCCACACACACAAACCAGAAACTTCCAGTCACCTAAGAAATACTCTATTTTATAGGTGCGATTATTTATTTTTATTTTTCTTCAATTCAGACATTTCCTTGTTGAGATCACCCAAGCTTTCTTTTAGACTTTCATAATTTTCTGGGGTCTTGATGGTTGCAAGAGGATAGTTGCCTCTCTCACTCATAGCATTTTCTTTTTCGTTTAGAATGGTGTATGTAATATTCTCAAGTTTTAATCGTTTCCCAATATTGGTTCCGTCACCACTGATCTTTATTTTTATTGTAGCATCATCYTCCCCTATTTTGCTGTTCTCTTGAAGTCTCAGCAACTGTTCGGTCAGACTTTCTTTGAAAGAAACCTGGACACCTTCAGCTTCTCCTGGTGTTTCTTTCAATGGCCATCTCTTATTGAGTTCCCCTATCTCTCTCGAAATTTTTCCTTTGGTTGGCATTTCTTTGCATTTCATGGCCAGCTCATGCCAGGCCTCATTATAATAAATTGTATTTGTCTTTAATGAATATCCAGTAATTAATATCATCTAAATCTTGGTCAGTGATTTCCTTTGCTTCTGAATCAAGTTGYAAATCATCATCATCAATCAGAGTTATAGTTTCATATGTTCCATTTTCTTTGTTTAATATTTCTACTTTTGTGGCCACAAAATTGTAAATCCCCAAGAATAACAGTGTGGTTTGAATATCTTGTTTGAAGCCCTTTTTAATCCTCGCCTGAKGTTGTGGGGTGTAATCATTAAAGCACATGTCTTTATTGGGACCTCTTTTTGTTTTATTTTGAATTTTTGCCACTCTTTTTGCTAGTGTTTTAAATTTTTCTTTGTAATACCTCCTGCTTCTCTCTTCCTGAGCAATGACATTTGAAAGCATTTCTTCAGTTTTCATTCTCTTTCCTTTTTCTGCAGCCATATCTTGTTCTGCTTTCCTCGTCTCTCCTCGTAGCTGCTGGTTTTCTTCGACGAGTTTTGTTTGGTCAAGTTCATGATAATATATTTTCAAATCATAGTTTGTCGATCTCCATTCATTTTTTAGCTTTTCAATGCATTTTCCTCCGCGACCTGAGGCTGTTTTAAACTTGGTATTTAGCATACTGATTTTTGCTCTAAAGGTGTTTATTATTCTACTTCCGGTCGTTACTTCATTTATTTTAGATTCATTTAAAATATTCTTAATTATCCGTTCCAAAACACTGTCTGCTTTCTCGCCCAGAATTTTTTTAACAGATTTCGAGATGGTATAAATAAGGTAGCTGAAATAAATAAATATAAAAAAATAATCAGTAGCCTCTCGAGATCGCGATTTTTTATTGTATTTATTTATTTTTTTTTTTTTTTTTGAAAATAATTTAAGCGGGAAACACTCTTAATACATCTT